GTGACCGCGCACGACCTCGCCGCGAACGAGGCTCGCGCCCCTCCCCCGCGGGGGGCCGGGGCCCTCTCCGCGGGGCGACCTTCAAGCATTTGGACGCACGATCCTCCTCCTCCTCCTCCTTCCCTCCTCCTCCTCCTCCTCCTCCTCCTCCTCCTCCTCCTCATTTGGACGCACGAAATGGGTACAGGAAGAAAGGGTACAGTGCCCAACAGCGGATCTATTTCATTTTGAACAGGGCTCGCTGTCCGCGCCGCGGCGGCCTGTGTCCATTCGAGACAGGAGGCCGCCTGCCCAACGGCGGCCGCTGTTGGCTTGGGGCAACATTTGCTGTTGGGCATAGTGCCCATTCTTTCCGTACCCATTTCGGGCGTCCAAAAAGCAGTGGCGAAGCGTCCTGGCTCGCGTATAGCCCTCCCAAGCAATGCTCTAAGAACCTTCTAGCGGTTCCCACGACATGTTCTTTTAGAACATTTCTGGCTGGGACTGCCTTGTTTTATAACACATCAGGTTTATGTTCTATATAAGAACATCGCTTGTGCTCTTGAAGCATTTTTGTGTTTGTGTTCTGACAGCATTTTCGTGGTAGAACAATAGGAATGCCGGGACGGTCGGTCCCTGCTCAAGACCTCGGGGCTCAAGAGACGGGAGTCAATGCAAACGGGGGTCAACCAGAGCGCCGGATTTTGCAGGATCTGCGGCGCCAGGGTCGCATCGATCCGGGCTTGGGTGCAGGATCCTGCAGGATCCTGCAGGATCCTTCGCGTTCACCCGGGTCTGGGTGCGGGATCTTGCAGGATCCTTGAGGATTCTGCAAGGCTTGGCTGACCGGGGTCTGGATCGACCCGTCGGGGGTGGACAGAACCCCCAACAGTGACACGTCGATTAGTGAATTGTCCGTTTCCGGATCTCGAGAGGGCGCCGTGGCCGTTATTTTCCAGGCTTTCGCCCGCCAGGTTTGGGCCTCAGGTCGTTTTCACTAAACCACGTTTTACTAAAGGGGGGTCTGTCCATCCCCGAACCTGGGTCAGAAGATCTCCGGCGACCCCGGGCGACCTTCTCCCGGGGTCGGCCGCGCTCCTGGACGTTGGGCGCCGCGCAATGGGGGGGTCATAAATGGGGGGGTGGCGAGGGTGGTTCGAAAAGGTACCCAAACGGTACCTAAACGAGCCCCCTGGGGCTCTGGAGGGGCCCGAAAGGGGCACGAAAGGGGACCTTTTCTGACCCCCCATTTGTGACCCCCCCATTAAGCCACGCCCAAGTCAGAAGATCTCCGGCGACCCCGGGCGACCTCCTCCCGGGGTCGGCCGCGCTCCCGGACGTGCCCGCGCCGCGAGCAGAAGAATAATCACGGCGGCAGCCCTCCTCGGCAGGCTTCGGCCTCTGGGGGGGCCCTCGCCCCGGGGCCGCGGAGAAGCGGCCTCCGGGACGATGGGGCGGGCGGTACCCGGGGGGTGGAGGAGTGGAAGGCGATTCGTGGAGAGGATGCTGCACGCACGAAATGGGTACTGAAAGGATGGGTACAATGCCCAACAGCGGATCTAGTTCATTTTGAACAGGGCTCGCTGTCCGCGCCGCCGCGGCCTGTGTCCATTCGAGACAGGAGGCCGCCTGCCCAACGGCGGCCGCTGTTGGCTTGGGGCAACATTTGCTGTTGGGCATGGTGCCCATTCTTTCCGTACCTATTTCTGGCGTCCAAAAAGCAGTGGCGAAGCGTCCTGGCTCGCGTATAGCCCTCCCAAGCAATGCTCTAAGAACCTTCTAGCGGTTCCCACGACATGTTCTTATAGAACATTTTTGGCTGGGACTGCCTTGTTTTATAACACATCAGGTTTATGTTCTATATAAGAACATCGCTTGTGCTCTTGAAGCATTTTTGTGTTCTGACAGCATTTTCGTGGTAGAACAATAGGAATGCCGGGACGGTCGGTCCCTGCTCAAGACCTCGGGGCTCAAGAGACGGGGGTCAATGCAAACGGGGGTCAACCAGAGCGCCGGATTTTGCAGGATCTGCGGCGCCAGGGTCGCATCGATCCGGGCTTGGGTGCAGGATCCTGCAGGATCCTGCAGGATCCTTCGCGTTCACCCGGGTCTGGGTGCGGGATCTTGCAGGATCCTTGAGGATTCTGCAAGGCCTGGCTGACCGGGGTCTGGATCGACCCGTCGGGGGTGGACAGAACCCCCAACAGTGACACGTCGATTAGTGAATTGTCCGTTTCCGGATCTCGAGAGGGCGCCGTGGCCGTTATTTTCCAGGCTTTCGCCCGCCAGGTTTGGGCCTCAGGTCGTTTTCACTAAACCACGTTTTACTAAAGGGGGGTCTGTCCATCCCCGAACCTGGGTCAGAAGATCTCCGGCGACCCCGGGCGACCTTCTCCCGGGGTCGGCCGCGCTCCTGGACGTTGGGCGCCGCGTAATGGGGGGGTCATAAATGGGGGGGTGGCGAGGGTGGTTCGAAAAGGTACCCAAACGGTACCTAAACGAGCCCCCTGGGGCTCTGGAGGGGCCCGAAAGGGGCACGAAAGGGGACCTTTTCTGACCCCCCCATTTTTGTGACCCCCCCATTAAGCCACGCCCAAGTCAGAAGATCTCCGGCGACCCCGGGCGACCTCCTCCCGGGGTCGGCCGCGCTCCCGGACGTGCCCGCGCCGCGAGCAGAAGAATAATCACGGCGGCAGCCCTCCTCGGCAGGCTTCGGCCTCTGGGGGGGCCCTCGCCCCGGGGCCGCGGAGAAGCGGCCTCTGGGACGATGGGGCGGGCGGTACCCGGGGGGTGGAGGAGTGGAAGGCGATTCGTGGAGAGGATGCTGCACGCACGAAATGGGTACTGAAAGAATGGGTACAATGCCCAACAGCGGATCTTGTTCATTTTGAACAGGGCTCGCTGTCCACGCCGCGGCGGCCTGTGTCCATTCGAGACAGGAGGCCGCCTGCCCAACAGCGGCCGCTGTTGGTCTGGGACAACATTTGCTGTTGGGCATGGTACCCATTCTTTCGGTACCCATTTCGGGCGTCCAAAAGGATGCATGCTGCCAAGTAGTTTCCAGATGCCTGACGAATGTTTCAAACATGTTATAAATATGTAGGAGCAGGCTTGCAACATTGTCAGACCATGTTTTTTTTACACATTTCAAGCACATGATAGGTTCAATGCTGGGACTGTCAGAGGGTGTCCACTGCCGTGGCATGCACAACTGCAGCGGCCCTTTGCATGGCCCCCTTGGAGTAGAGCCCGAAGGTGCCCCACAAAGGGGCCCTCGAGGGCCCCAGTTGGGGCCCCTCCCACCCGCCCGAGGCGACCCTCCGGCCCTGGGGCAGGGCCGGGGCCTTCCGGGGGGGGGGCCCTCCCGCGGCCGCGCGCGCGAGGGAGTGGCCCTCCGACGCGCGGTGGCCTCCCTGGCGCCGGCGGGCGGGCCCTCGCGGGGGATCCCCTCCCGCGGGGCAGGGGCGGCGCGCTCGGGTCGACTTGCCCTCCCGCCGCCCGCCATTGGCGGGCGGCGGGAGGGCAAGTTCACCCTTTCGCTCGCGCCGTTGGCGGCCGACGGCACGAGCGAAAGGGTGAACCTATAGGGGAACGAAACATGGCATAGACAATAAAAGCTCGGAGGTCCGCGCGGATTGCTCGGATCGGCGCTGGACCCCCCCTCCCTGGCGCGCGGAGCGCGCCAGGGGCGGCGCCGGAGGCGCCGCCAGGGGGGTCCAGCGCGGGGGATCCCCCCCCCCCCCGGGGCAGGGGCGGCACGCTCGGGTCTGTCCTCCCGCCGCCCGCCCACCGGGCACGAGCGAAAGCCGGGAGCTGGAACATGTACATTACCAGTTGCAGGCGGTTTTGGAATCCCAGGACTTCTTGAGGGTCGAGGGCGAGTCTGGGGTGGTGTGGTCTATACTTTTTTCCCGTGCTCCCGTGGAAGCAACGAAAAATGTATACACCAGGATGCCGTATACACCATAATCCGTTTCTTGTGCGAATCTCGGTGCGGGACCGGGAAAAAGCATCGGTGTATAAAGTTCGGTTCCTTAGAAAGGGGTACGGAAAGGATGGGTACAATGCCCAACACCTGGCATCGCTCGGACTTGTGCATTTGTTTTCGGCGAGGACCCTGGAGGAGCATCCTGGATCGTCGAGCAAGCAAAAACACGCACGAAACTGGAACATGCACAGGACATGGATGTCCGAGCGATGGCAAAAACAGCGGTTCCTGTTCATTGTGAACAGGACTTGCTGTTAGTGTCGCCGCAGCCTGTGTACGTTTGAGGCAGAAGGCCGCCTGCCCACCAGCGGCCGCTGTTGGCTTGGGACAACTTATGATGTTGGGCATTGTGCGCATTTTTTCGGTACCCATTCTGGGCGTCCAAAGCCAAAACCGCGCACCAAAGGTCACTCTTAGCGAGCGGTACATCTGCACCCCCTGCAGGAAGGACGCGGTGGATCACATCAGGCACACAACTGTTTGGTTCGTGCCTGTCTTACGCCATGCTGGTTCCATGTTGTGCGGAAGCGGTTTTCGACATCTCGCAGCTCCATCCGCTCGTGCTCGTCTCGCTTGCGCTGCGCCGAGAAATAAAGCACAGCATACCAAGGCCGCCCTTACCTGGGGTCCCTCCCGCGTGCAGCCGACCCCCCTCCCGGGGGGCGGCCTCGCTCCTGCACGGCAGGCCCGCGCCGTCCCTGCGTTTCGGCGGCGACCCCGGACCTCCGACGAGATGTGCTTTCCAATCCTCCATACACCACCACCGTGCCAGGCCAGGGCACTCCTGGGCCCCAGGATGGTGCATATAGACCCTCCTGGCCTCGGCCAGGAGGGCGTACACACCAGGCCAGGGCCAGGGTGGCCCTGGCTTGGCACGGGGGTGGTGTACGGATGCTCTCTGCCTAAATCCCGGGCGTCTGAGTCGACTTCGGGCTCTGTGACCACCCAGAATGGATCCAGGGCTAATTCGGGCCTGTCCCTCTACAGGGGGACTATCCAGAAATAGTAAAAAAAGGTCAGGGGGCGATTTTTT